ACGATCGTTTTTTGACTCGGCGATAAAAGCCAAGTAGTTGGCAAACTTTGTTGATTGATTTTCGTCCGTCCAACTTCGCTCCAGCGGGAAACTACATTTCCTTCCCATGATGACACTGCAGCCATCTGACGGCGGTATTGTCCGAATCGTCAGATGAAGATACAAAATTGGCTCCTTCTACATTGATTCCTCCTGGTGTATTCGAATGGAGATCCGGATACGACAGAATCCGAAAGTGTCCTTCAACGTGAGCTACCCGTCTGGGAAAACAAAATGTCCTTAAGTGCGGGATGCCCCATATCTAGGAGTTAAGCCGTTCTGCGAACAAGCACTTAGGCTCACTTCATGTGTTACGGTAGAATGCTACGGAAATCGTACTTCTTGAATTGTCGAGCAGTCAGGCGGATGTATTTATTTTCACCGTAAGAAATGATCAGCAGCAACGGGAGTTGACAGCGGTGTGTTCGGAAATTCTCTTGCTTTTCGATAAAAGACTTGAGTTTCGTATCGTTCACATCACAACGTACAATAACCTAATCCACTTGGCACAAATCACCAGGCAAAAGATCGACCCAAAATGAAACCAGCAGTAATTCATTGTGAATTCCTTTGACAGCTGATGCATCATTGGATTAGTTGCATGACATTTGGCAACAGACACTATACCGAGTTTTGAGTCTAGCTGTGAAATCGATTTATCACTTTTCATTCTTTAGTTCCGCCATCCGCTATCCTGTTAAGGGAGCAAACATACCATTTATGTGCCCCGTTATTAGGTTTCTGTATTTATTCTCATGTTTCGTAACTGCCTTCGTGTTCTACTGAGCCATTTTTCTCAAAGAAACCGTGATTTCAATCCCTTTGGAGCTTGACGTAAATCTGAAACTCGAAAAACTGCAGTTACTTTACAATGCCGGGCATTGACAATCCACTTAGCACGGAAGCTTAACTGGTTGGCATTTTCGTTTCGACAACTCTAGCTCTCGTGGGTCGACGTCTGAAATGTTGAAAACATTTGGTTTCATCTCCCTGCCATCTAGAGGGGGAACGGGCTTGTTTGAGGTTCTATTGGTTGCAATTCCATGTCTACGCAAGTGCGCAGAGGCAAGAATGGTAACAATGACTCCAGTCAAGAATTTTCGGTTTCCTATCGGCTTCTTCATAAAATCACCATAACTGGGTTTGGCGGCTAATCTAAAGGCGCCAAGTTCGAGGGTTAAACCCGAGTGGTTGAGATGGTAGGCCACGATCATATATGTTCGGTTACCCGCATCTGCTAAATAATATTCGGGAACTCAGCAGACGTGTAAGAATTCTGATGAAGCGCATAAACAAAAGAACATCAATAGCATTTGGGTTGAATAGCCATTCAGCAAATTTCTCGAAAAAGATTATCGGTGATGAGCACGTTGTTCTCAACCGCATTCTGGGCAACATTACACTAGCAGTAGCTATCGGTGTCTGGCTGTAATGTAGCAAAGTAACCGTCAGGCGAAGTGGAATGGGATATGAGAAGTAAGGATGAAATACGACCGAAGGCACTGCCAGTAGCAACGTGTGCTTATTTCGGCCCCGAGTGAATGCCTAGAGGTGTAGGTACCTTGGAATGATTGTGGTAACCTAGCACCAAGTCCCTTCCCCGTCCACCTTTATTCTTTTCTTTACAATAAAGCTTTCAAATAAATCATGGTTGTACGGCAGTGAGGCATCGGTGTTGAACACTGATGTCATGCTGTCGGTGATGATTGTGATTTCAGCCGTCCTGGTGCGTGCAACGAAGGGAACATTCGGGGTGATTTTGCGAAGCGACGGCCGATTCGATATTAGATTACTTTTATTGTTACAACTCATGCTTGTAGGATAGCCAAAATACTGCCATGGCAATGATAGAAAGATAATTAGGGACGTCATTCGACGAGCGTGATCCGAATGACTTGTCACAAGACAACAGCAGTTAGGTGGAGTTAAATAGAAAAGTTTACATTTTGTGACGCATGTTCTGCCCTTAGCCACAAGAATAAGGTGGTTCCTATCCAGTTTGAGGTCTTTATGGAAGTCTGAATTACTGAGCTACCTCAGGCGGAAGAGAAATCCTGGGGTAGGAGGACTAATACTTCAGCGAGCTTCTTTCATTAGATTCTCTTGCCTCAATTTTGATGTCTAACTTGACATAACTCAGTCACTTTTCGAACTTTTCCTCCAAATTGTATCTGCGCATCTGATGAACGTTGTCAATAACTCTACAAAAAACACTAATAAAAGACTGACAGTCCATGGGGTTGGCAATAAGAAAACTTAGCCTTATTATAACCAGTCACAAGTATCATTGTTGCATTGCATTTATCAAGGAGCATTTCACGGAGGCTAAGAGTCAGAGTTCAGTAAGTGATTTGTGCACCTGTTCTTTTACAGACAGAAGCACCAGTTTCTAAAATTGAAAACGTACGGTAATTTTCCGGATTAAATCCTGGCACAAGTATATCGTTGAACCATCAGTATTAAGATTATTCGGCTTGTCTGTGAGGCCTGCTCACCCGGAAGACCTCTCGAGGTGCCGATAACTGAGCTTTCAGATGGAACAGGCTGAGCAGCAATGACAGCAGTAAAATTCGGAACTCAGCCGCTAGAGGCAATCCTTGTGACGTAATCATTCAAGTGCTGTTTACAATGAACGGCAGTATGTCACCGTTCCGCCAAGTCAGTCGCTAACCAGGTCACATGTGTGAAGTGACGCTGACTAACCGGCTTGATCTAGGCGGTATTACTGAGGGTTGAGCACACAGCACCAATGACAGATTAATAGAATGGAAAATCCAAAAAGAATACAACTACGTTTGTCCTTGGGTTAGTCATACAATGAGATTATCAGACCTCCATGGTGGAATCATCCATCGGCCTATGTCATTTGAATCAGTAAATCAATCTTCACAACAATCAAGGAGATAGAGTGTGGCCCGAGTGTGTGCCGAATCCCTCTAATTCTAATCACCTAATCATGAGAACGTTGGAATCAGTCACGACTCGAAATAGAACAACTATCTAGTTTTCGACGAGCCGATAACCGTTTGCGGGTATTCACTCGGAACAGCGAACGTAACTCCACTCCTAATTACAAGAGGTCAATAATCGTCCAACGCAGCCAGAAGCTTGCACGGAAATGCCGTATAAAGCTGTGCATGCCCATCCATTCTGACGTTCAAAACAAAGTGAACCAAAATGGTTTTCCATCGTTATGAGAGTATCAGTCTCCTAGGAAAATGCATCAGTCACTCTTCCATAAATCCCCATTCACACTTGTTAGTCGCCAGGCTTTAAACCACTTTGTAAATGACTGTTCACAAAATGTTCACCAAGGTTCGCACTAATCTAGTCTACATATTTATCCCAGGTTAGCTGCGTCCGAGATCAACCGCAGTTTTGCCGAATTACATTGCTTAGATTGAACACAATCATTTTGTTGAGTTTTAATCAGAAAAGACTCGGTTCACTGTAGGGAAATCTGTTTGTTGATGCAAAACCATGAGCATTTAGCAAAGTACAAACAGCTTTGGTCACCTATCTCCGGATACTTCACTGAATGGTCAAATGTGCCTGCTCGTTGTTGGTCTAACTGGAACTGCAGCGCTTCGGGTAGTTGTAGATTTGCTTGTGATCTAGTTCAGGATAGCTTTCTCATCTGCCAGTCATCTGGGCACTCAACTTCATTTGGACTCTCGAATAACAAGTGCGATGTGGTCACATGAATTAATTCATATTCAGAAGCTTGACCATATGCAACCCGCCGCTTCCGCCTCTGAGTTCCCCTTCAGGAGCAAAAGTGACCCAGTGAAGCGGTAATAAATACACAGGTGGCGGTGTTTGAAGAGGAAAATTATGACCGGTGTCCTCGACCAGTGGGCTGTCACGCTAAACCCGAAATGAACCCAGGTAGCAAATAAGAATTCAAACAAGCTACGATACTAGTGTCCGACTGGATGTTCAAAAGAATGTCAAAGTAGTTATGTACATGATGATGGATTGCATGTGGACGAAGAAGATCGACTTGTGAAATCAAGAGACTGAACCCGATGCAATTCAGTGAGACTGATACTTGTAAAAAATTCCTAATTGATGATAATTTGAGGAAGTCTGGTAAGTTATATTTAGGTTTCCGTCAGCCAATTTATGCTGAAAAGTCGATCACTGTATAGCTATTCCATCCTTATTGGGAACCATCTCACGAAACTCAGGTGGTTTCGAATCCGCAACCTCGTTCCGCCACAACCGATCAATCAACATTGTGATCAATTCGCACTTAGGCAGGATGTAGCGGCACTCATCCTTCAATCACATCACGAATCACGTATTGGCTGGCTCATCGAGTGACAACTTCCCAGGTAGAAGGTTCACATGTCGTGTCAATTATTCTGCCTTGTGAGCCACTAATAGTTTGTTCACAAGGTTGCTGAAAATCCTCCGACAGCCTACGACCGCTTTCGCCCTTCTTGGGGCTCATAAGGTAGTTGCAGCCCCTGAGTTTCCCTCAACCTTGTTTATGTGGAAAAGCTGTAAACCTCCCAAATTTTATATGGAAATTGTAGCAACCTACACAGGCTAACAAACCTTCAAATTCGGTGTTGCTATACGCCCTTGCAGCAAATATTTTTAACCTTGTTTTTGCATGTTTCCATCGAATTTCTAACCTGTGTAGTGTGAAGCCAAATACACAATAAAATTCGCACACAGGAATGAGTCACCTGTGGTATCTACCGTACCAGTGCGTCGTTATGCCACCACAAGTTACCGAGCAGCATATCTATTAGTCCAGAAAAGTACACCTTATAGTGTTCGGATGACAGCTCCTCCACGAGTCTTAGTCTGCAACATTTCACGGGACTTCAGCTTTCCGTACGCATCCACCTCAAACAATTGTGCGGAAATTAACAACACTTTTCAAAACAAGAAGGCTCTGTGCCGTCATTAGCTGGAAAACAACCCAACAGGTGAAGAGGACCAAATCGACGAATTTCAATAAAATCAGTAGTATGGCGCCATAGTGGACAAGAATATATCACATTTGCTTTCGACAAAAGACACCCGCACGTGTGATGCACGGAGGAGATATAGAATACTATGTACAACGTATTTACAATGAGTTTCATCGGATCTAGAAATGGGTATAATTTCTGACTCTTTCTATATACCTCGCGTTATCCTGAAAGCAAACGCCCCTTCCATGTTTGTGGGATTCGGGAAGGAGCATATATTCTGCTAATTGTTCTCCATCAGTTCTAAGTCAATTTCCGCCAGTGGTATAACTGCTGTGTGATCCGACTGTGGGGAGCAGAATGAATTGTGTTGTTTCTCAAGCCGCCTTCGTCTGGTAATAAGGCTGTGAGTGAGCGGAGTCCCACCATCAGAACTGTCAGAATCCGTGGAAGATAAAGAGATTATTTCGTCTGGGTTTAGCGGGATACTCTCTTTTGGTTGATCGAAGAAAGCATCCTTGGAGGTTGCATCCGCACCTTGCTCACATCCACTGTGTCGGATACTTGAATTGTCACAAACTTCCGTGTTTGTATCATCAGCCGACATTGCGCGAATTGGCTCAAAACCGATATCCGACAGTGACGGAGACACATTAGTAGGGTATTTGGAGCGGTTACCGCTGGAAACATACAGACCAGAGGCCTCTTCTGTGACAGCTTCAGGCGTTTCATATTCTTTTTCTTCCTCCATTGATTCAGAGAGATCTCCTAGATGGGGATACCCGTGCCGAGAAGGAAAATTTTCATGCCCAAGGGTAGAGCGCATCAGACTGCAAGCGCATCCACCCATTTGTGACTGTAATTGAAGCACAAAGAGTATGCGGTCAGCCAAGACCGTAGCATTTATGTGAACAATAGTTAGCTGATAGGAACAATCAAGGTAAGTGACGCCAAATCAAGAAAACAGAATAACCGATTCACCGGGCAAGAGGGACCTTACATACAGCAGCCCGAGCGGTTCTTGAGCCTTGAAATCACTACAAGCAGTCATTGTTTGCAGACCACTCCGATAAACAGAAATAGTAACGCGGAAAACTCATAGCTCTCATCTTACCTGATAAATAGTCTCATCTGAGGTGACAGAGTTATCACAGCAAACCCGACGACACCGCAGACAAGAGGATGAAGGAGTATGATCAGTGCAATGTAATGTGTCCGAGGGTAAAATGCTCTTGCTTTGGTCCGCACCGAAACAAGGCTCTTCAAGGGGTCGGGATGCCATGGAACCAAATATGAAAATACCGTTGGGTAAAGTGAGTGAAGGACTCTCTGGAAAGGATATGGGACGGCGCATAGATGTTGGACTATGGTTCAGCGTAGCGTATTGGAATTCCATTGACCGATGCATTTCACCATGCTCACTAACGGAGTTCTCTGCCTCGGACTGACAACGGCAACTATTGTTCACCAGTGTATTCGTGTTAGACGTGTCCGTCTCCCCACTTAGACCACGTCTACGTTTGAGGCCAGCAATCCAATGATTCTCGGCCTCTCGTGAACACTCTGCTGTGGTGAAGGGTAACCGTGGCACGAGATTTGCGGATTCCGGTTGAACTGCAGTTGGTTGGGACCGGCACCGGATAGTGTCATCTTTAGTGTTTAGTCTAAATTGGAGGGTGGCGTAGTCAGACATTCCGGGACCAGACGGACCACTGGGACCCGAACAAGCGAATTGTAGGGACGACAAGGCCTCTGAACCGGAATGCTGTTGGTTAGATAAACGGGGATCTGCGTCCGACCGAAATCCAACCTGAAATGCGATCACAGCCGAGTATCAAGAAGTTCAGACTAAAATGACGAAGCATAGACTGACATTAAGATGATCCGAAATATGAAACACGACTGGAGCAGGCAGCGTACGATCTTTCGCAGGTAATTCCATGGTTATCCAAAGATTTCGTAAAACGCAAGTCAGCTAAAAATGAAATGAATTTTAAACACAGAATGTAATGATGACAATTTAGCCGCAACCAACAAGTACCTCGATGACGATCAAGTCTACCACAATTTAGTGCAAGATGAAAAGAGAAGGGATAATCATGCAGTTACACATGTTGAACAGAGGACACTGAGTTGAACACTTTTTAGCGTGGCTGCAGAAATCGCGTCCAACAGTCCGCTTAAACAGTCCTCCTCCTGTCCTCGCTTACTAATCCTGGTGAGTTCACACTAAATAGAGGAAGCATAGGGACCGAGTTTGGCCCGTATAAGAGCTCATCAGCAGTGCACATCCTTGGTTGTGCGGGGATTCGAACTCCTGGCATTCGATACGTGAGGCGTGTGTTACTACTCCTCCCCATGTTGGAGGCACCTGGATTATCACATCTAAACAGGCAATGGTGCTCACGTTTGAATGATGTGATCGGTTCGCCCGACACACCGAACGACATGTCCTGGTTGTGTCGATCGAATGACCTGCTTGTCAAGACTTCCCAGAAGAGAAGCGCCACGGAAATTGAAACCCGCTGGACAACCCCGTCACGACCAGGGATATGCAGTGGTGATGAGCTGTAGTAAGACTGAAACTCGATTTCAGTGATTCCCCCCTTTGGTGTGGCGTTCAGCTGCAACACCCATTCGGTGCCTAGCTGCGATGCCACCCAAAGGATACACGAGGACTGAGATATTGTCAGGTTGCTGAAGCCTAGATAGGAGCAATCAAGATGCAGAGGTTGGGTTCGAACCACGGACCTGTCGGTCAGTAAATTTGCACTTTAACCACTAGGCAATCTCAGACAATCGTGTAGACTAACCAGAACAATTGCGGAGGACAGAAGGGCTGTTCAAACGGGGGTGATACGAACGCGAACTTTCAGTGTATTGCTATCAGTCACAGTGCGAGGTACAGCCGATCTCAGACAGCTGATTCCTCATTTCCGTATGGGGATCTACGGAATTAGTTTTATCAACAGTCTGTTGCTAGACGTTACGAAAACCTCCATTCACTGCCAAGACAGGAATAAAGTTCAATATCTACCAAAAATTTGCTGTCCCAGGTGACAAACTTGCACACCGATCGACCACTACAGCTCTCAGAGAGTGCAGGTACCATTCACAGAAATTAACTGGCCTACATACACAGTAACATCATCGGCCACTGTGTGAAAACAATATAAAATTCAGACAACAGAGGCATACTGGTAAAAAGTCGCACCAACAAGGTGTACACAAGAACAGTTAGGCAGGCAAAAACAGCGAAAACAATGTCCTAGATTCTGGCGTGGTGTGCAATCTAGCAACAACGAACAGCTGACTTAGGGTTGGACAACTGGAATTCGGCTACTTTTCACGGGAATAAATCGGTTAAACCAAGTAAACGTAAGACAGTGCTCCAATACTAATCTACCGATATGTCCTACCAAGTGGAAGCATTAACTCGGACGACGAAACCCCAGAGCACAGGTCATATTGTACCGTCACATTGGCGCAACTCCAAAGTTGAATCGTGTGAGAATTGTACCATAATCAGCACGTCCAGTACTCGGCTAGAAGTTTACTCTCATTAGTGGGACGAGACGTAGTTTCGCGATTCAACCTCATCCCCAGGAGACACTAACCACAACCATGAAAGAAACATTATCTAGTTCCCGTCAAATAGATTATCATCCTCCTACTCCTCCTCAATGTGAGACACCACAGTGGCACCACTACTCGGACACAACAACTGACTGCCTAATTAAACACCTTATGTCATTCGTGCTGATGATCTCAGCTCAGGTCTGCATAACTCTACTCACCTGTCATAGTGCGCAGGGTTCACAAAAGGGCGAGTCTGATTTTATTAACTATTACTGATAGATATTTAATACCAAGTTACAGTTTGACTAACAGGGCTGTGCATTGGTCCCTCCACCTAACAAGCCCATAATTATTTTTTCAGGTTCGGCTGCAGCGCACTTCAGATGCATAGCTGTCGTTCAACCCGAAGAAAGTCCTGGGGTTGAGATAGTGCGCGGTTACTCAAGTCTACACAGAAATTGTTTAAATGTAACACCCTTTCGGTGCTTAGTTGCCATGCCACACAAGGGAAGCACAAAGGCTGGGATACTACCAGGTTGCCCAAGCCGATACACGGGAAGTCGAGAGGCAGAGTTCGGGTTCGAACCACGGACCTTCCGGTCGGTAAATTCGCCTACACAGAAGTAAATCTAAAAGTCGAAGTTGGGTTCGAACAATGATCAGTAGTTTCGCACCTTGATCGTTGGGCCATCTCTGACTGACCCAACGATCGCAGATGGTTCACTTGTTTCTAGGACCTATGATCGGAACTTCATGACGAGAAAATGTCTAATTCTCGTAAGACAGTGGCAACCAAGCTGTTTTCCTTACATAGGCACAGGGTAAAACAACAAGCTGATAAAGAACACCACATGGTTTGTCACTTTTAACCATCAAGAAAGGTCAAGTAGAGACCCGATGAGGTAGTGAATCGAGTGAACGGGAGATTACAAGCAAAGTGAAACTATCAAGGACAGTTATATTTAACCTCCGGGTATACCCTGTCAGACATTTTTTAAGATGTGGTCGCGGTGTCGGGATTATGACCTCTAATGTAGCTAGAAGTTAATCGCATGACTGAATACGAGAGAACGGTTGGAGATTCATTCTAGCCGAAGTAAAGGAATATTATGGTAACGATCGCTAGGGAAACCTATGGGCTACTGAATTCCCATAGATGCTTGTAAGATGTTTCCTCATGAGGCGATACGAAAACAACAAGGAGCATGACAGGGCTACCTTAGTTAATTCACAGATAGAGTAATGCACCACATGACACAAAACCAGTGTGAACGGTGTATGGATAGCTACTTTTGGAGAGAGCATTCATACCCGGTTCATTACGTGAATGACTGCTCCAGAAATGCACCTAAAATCATGCACAGCTCACTGCGGTCAAGGATAGACCTGGCAAGATAAAATAGGTCCCACGGTGGGAAATTCACCGGCACACTTACGTCACCTACGGATTTTATGGAGTACACTAAGCTAGCTTTGTCTTAAACAACAGCATCGCCCTTAGTCGGAACTCAGAATGAAGTAACCACAAAATCACAGATTTGTGTCAGACATATACAAGGATATCCAAAATCCTCGGTCAGATAGCGGTTTCTAAACGAGATAAAATACAACAAACACGTGGAACACTTACCAGAGAGCAATCTGGAAGACTGGAACACGCATCGGAAAAGCAAGAGAATACTGCCTCCTGGAATCCAGAAGATGGAGTCGGAACAGAGATCGGAACCGAGGAAGACACGGAGTTCATCTCGGGTGATAAAGAGTAGGTGAATGATTGTGTGGCGTTACGCGGGCTTTCGAATCGAGCAGATGTTGGCGTGAAAGCTGATGGGTGGCTGCTGAATACAGATAGCAAGTGGTGCATAAATAGAAGATAACGACAGTAAAAACGAATAATAGAACACTGCATTAGAAAATTTAACTCTTAACCTAACTGACAACTTCGAAGTAAGCTTGAGGTTTGGATACCTGAAATTGCTAGTAAATCCTCATCGAAATCATTAGGTAATCAATGGGTTAGCTTCAATCTGGTGAACTATAAGTTAGTGGTGGCGGGTAACCATTTCAATTTTTACTGCTGAAAGAAAAGGAGAACATCAATTTGACTTTGAAAGCAAACAACTGGGTGTTGACAAAGTTGAAAGGCCTTGCATCAGTAACCAATTCCTCTTCCCTTAGAAGCTGAACTTTTGGAAGTGATAACAGTGATACGTTGATTAGAAAACAGACTTTGACACCACTTGTCGAAGGCGATTTTGGCGTCGTCTATATCGTAGTGGTAATCGGGAAACCTATGCTTCATTTGTGTTTCGGTCGGAGTTGAAAGTCTAAGGTTTTGAGATAGAATATCGGTCAAGCATCAATGACAGGTGCAGTCCAAAGCCCATCGGAGTCTTCTTTTCAACGCCCCACAATGGTTGGAGCAACTACCGGCTGTAAAGGAGACGCCCGATGGTGAATCTAGATGCATCTGCATATACCAGCCCTAATTGTTGCCATCAGAATGTTACAAAGTTCGTGCAACAACGACAAGAAAATAGGAGTTTGGATACGTCGTTGTTATGACCGTTTTCATTGTCCGGATGCAGGCCATTGTTCATCAGGAAAACCAGCATAAGCCATCACCTACAGTGCACTGCGGAAACAATGGACGCCGCACTATGATCTCATTCACACAGACTAGTGCAATGGGCACAGGATACATGGTCAATAGGGTCGGTGTAGTTATCGAAATTTACCACAAAAACAAGACCTTGTAAGCCGCACACGCAATGGGTGTTCGGGTGGCAGGAAAACGGAAGGAAAGTGGTTAGCATCTGTGAAACAGCCGTTAGTAGAATAAACTAAGACTACAGGCATATGCTACCGGAGAAAACTCACCGTAAGCTGGGTGGTATTCGTCTGAAAGTGGCTCTTACAAAAAAGCTACTCGCCTGATTCGAAAAAAAGAGAAGCGAAAAACGGTTCTTATGATGAGACGGCCCTTATAGTGGGCGATCTTAGGGAATAGATGTACAGTGCAGGATATGTTGAACAATGAGAAACCAGAAACCAAAAGGCACCACTTCAATGGACTTAAGGAGAGTTTTTGTCACCTAGCGATCAGAAGCAATCGAAAACTAGTTCGGGTCGAAAGAGATTTCTGTAATACAAAGACAAATAAATGTACAGGATGTGCAGGAAACCAGTGAGTAAATCTTCCAAGGGCACGTGTTTAGCGAAATCGCGAGAACACTTTGCCATTTTTGAAATTCTATAGCAGGATCCACTCCGGATAATAATGTGGAGTCACAGAAGCTGCAAAGAGCCACAGTATGAGTGACATGCACTACTTAGCTAATGTAGGCATCAAATAAATGGAAGCTGCTGACGGGTAAGGGCCATCCATATAAAAAACATTATTAGTGTCTGTGAGGTTATTATAAACCGATTTATAGCGTTCGCAATCCTAATTCTCCAAGTGCAGCTCTGACCTTATTTGCGAAAACCTATTATGAAAAAATGTACGACGTGAGCTTTGGTTACCTGTCAAACTGGCGAAAAAGGGGTCTCTCCTGAACCTTATGAGAAATTCATAGTAAGCTAGTAATCGGGTACGTAAGTGTAACCAAAGCTGGAATGGGTCAGGTTAAAAGCTCAAGGCGCACTAGCACACCTCAATCGGTTGTGAGGTCGAGGTTTTCAGCCCCGAATCTACAATTAGTTTGGGACGAATCCGACCGAATAACAAGTCGTTCGTTCAGAAAATGCTGTGTATTTCACTACTAAATGTGCCAGAAAGAAGCCGCTTTTGATTAGAATGACCACTTGATTTATTGGACCGTTTTCCAAGGATTTCGGTTACAAAAGCTTAGTTCAGCTCGGTTTCAGAAATGGATTGACAACAGTGACGAGAATTATATCAGCCACCGTAGCATTTGAAGAAATGTATCATGACCTCCTTCCTTTGTGCTACGACTGGACACCATCTCGTCGTCGTCCACGTTCCTCACGAACTCGATCGATATATTGCTCAATCCCAGTCACTGCGTTAACAGCAATGGAGTGCGCAGATGCGGATGTTAGCTGTATTAGAGAAGCAGTGACTTCTAGTATCACATCACTTTGAGAAGCCGAAGCATTTAGAGCACCAACAGTTGACTATGGACGACGGCGGTTTCGCATAATTTCACGATATCTCGGTAGGTTACGGTACTATTACTGCTTGATAGATCAGTTGACTGAATCCCTTAAAGAACGACTTTTGGTGGTACGGTCGGTTATGGGCACATCTTTATCTTCCTCAGAAAAGTACTTCATGCCTATGCGGTGCCGGTCTACAAACAGCGTCGTTTCTGCTTTCAACTCTGGACCCTGGTTTAGCTGCATCTGACCCAACTTCCTTACTGACTGACGCATTAATCCTGAGTGAAACAAGCTGAACATTGCAAACAACTACTAAAGTATGCAAGGTCCGCTATATTTGTGGCCGCTATCAGCTAACATTTACCCAAGATTTCAATCGTTTGTGCAAACTTTTTAATCATAATGTGGTATGTTATGAGAAGTTGGCTGACTATCTCCGCGAGAACCACTGGAAAACAGCCTCACCATGTTGAGTTTCTTTCTATCTCACACTCAAGTCAGTCACACTTTGCACCACATAGGTCAGAATGAAACAAATAAGGCAGCTGAACAATCCATCGACTTTTACCCCATTTCGGGTACTTTGTCAGTGCCTTCCTTTTCACGCAGGCCAACACTGGTTGGAGTAAACACTGGCTGAACGGATTTCAACGGTGTCTGTATATTCATGATTTCTTCAACCCCACTGATTGAGTCTCCACCGTAAGTCGAAGCAAAGTGACTATCCTGCAATCGTTCTTTATCTACCTAAATAGACATTTTGCAAGGGCAGCCCTAAGGTGTTGGTTTAGGTGCCAGAATGCTGATACAGCGGTGGTGAGGCTGGCGGCAAATAAGATGCCGGTATGATAAGAACATTGACAATGAAAGGAATTAAGATACAAAGCACACAGTGCATGACACGCTACCGCGTTCTGGCTGGTTTAGTGTACTTACTACTAGTTATAGACGTGACGAAGACAGCGGACATCGTCCCGCGCCCTTAAAGTCCGAAAATGCTGATGCCTAGTGACCAGAAAAAACGATCAACACACCAGATTTATGCGTACAACCGGGATCACAAACCACATTGTGCACCAGGGAAACCGACCTGGCCAGATAAGACTGAAAAATATAACTGTATCTGCACGGCTGTCGAAGCCTCGTCGTTCACATTTGCGTCAGGATTGTCTGACGAACTCTCGTATAGTTATTGTGCCTACTTATGCTCAGTCAAACGAACTAGGTAAAATTGGGATAACACCAAGATGCTGTTTGAGAAACGTAAAGCTATAACAAAAGGCGGATCAAACAAAAACAGAAATAAACCTACAGTGAGATCTATGATTTTGCTCATGGAACTAACCAACTCTGTCCAAAAAGTAAGTCAAAATAGGGCTCTCACCAGTACATGTCGTTCAAAGTCATCAAGTCAGCAGAAGACCGGCGTCATTGTCATCATCACCAGCAGTGGCATAACATCGGTGTTCAATACTGATGACCGGAGCGGAATTTGGATGATGTGTCTAACTGATGAGTCACATTGAGCGGCTTACTGAACAGACGGCCGCCGACGCATCCGAACACCTGGCACAACTATTTCGTGTGCACATACAAAGTCCAATCGATCAGCATTTATTACCTCCTGGTCACATAACATGGAGATTGCCAAGGCAACCCAGTTATTGTGTCACTTGTTGCTTAGATGAGGTGAATCACGTTTTTCAGCCGAGAAGCTGCAGACCAGCCTGCTAACAACAATGGTCTAGCGCCTTATAAATATGTGCAGTTTATCACTTCACGCTTCCGATCGCATCAGAAATGATAGTGGCATATGTAGAGTGACCGAATGTAACGAAAATGCATCCAACCATGGAACATCACAGGCGACCCGCAAAGATCACTAATCCTACGACCCCAAATATAAATAGGACTTGAGTGAAAAGTGAGAACCTGCGTGTGGTTCTCAACATCAGTCTTTCTTTTATTGGTTAGGCCCTATGAACAACGTCGACAAGCGGATCTTAGTGACTACAAAACAGCCTAGCTGGTGAAAGCGAACACAGGCACCGATAAGTTCCTGCAGCGATTTTCCTATCTCTTGAGAACACCAAAGAAATCTGTGCAGATTAGTGCAAGATTATTGACTGAGCTCCTGCAGCATTCTGGCCAGGAAACAGTTGACCAATCGGATGTTGGCCTGTTTGATCAGATTGATAATTCGTCCATAAACGCTTCATCATCATTCGAAGAAGTACCGTCAGTGTACATCGCTAAGTGTTATTCGAAGCGCCAGTGACCGATCAGATTAGTACAAGGAATAATGTTTCGACGAAAATTCTTAACAAAACCTGCAAAAGAGTGTTTTTTTCCTACAAAACCGACTGAGTTGACTCTTGATCGTTCGAGGCCGTTGCGACATGGAAGTCGTTGTTCAAGGGTTCGCAATAAGTAGTATGAAGTATTTCGGCACCTGACGCAGATTTTGCATATTTTTTAACCAATCTGCTCTATGTGAGACAAAATGTTATATCTGGCAACGGTTGCATGGGCTCAGCAGAAGTAACTGTGATATCAAGTCAGTAAAATTTCAGAGATGAATCGAAATCGGATAGATGCAGTTGACCACAAGCTATAGTCCCACCAGAGCCTAAGAAGCAGTGACAACGATCAAACAACCAATCAGCAGCAGAAATAAATGGATTGATAGATCTTTCAGGTTCGTGAGCAGAGTTGAAAACGTCTTGAAGATTATTGAACAGTTTACTTCCACACTCTGCGAAACATTAGTTTTCCTCAGCAATCCACGTCGGGATAGCTGCATGCATTGCCTGCCGGAGGTCACTGCAGGTTGCATGTCGGTTCGTCCTTTAAAGTATGTTTCTAGCCAAAAGCATGAGTGTCATATTCAGAGAACAGGACGGCCTACCAGCTAACAGTCCCTTAACCACATTGTCCCATAAAATCGAACAGAACATCAGCTAGAACCAGTATTATGAGTAATATGAGTAGTAACAGTTACGATTGAAAAATTGTGACCACTTGAATATCGGCTTAAGCTCCCGTTCACATCAGCTGATAGTCAAATAGTCAGTTCGTTCAACACCGATGATGGGATAGCACGTCAGTTCACAATGATAACCAGGCCGTGTGAAAATCATCATACCAACACGAAATACCTCTTCCGCCAAACGAAATAAAGCCACGGGATCAAAATAAGCTTATACATGCAGAGACAAGTAGTCCGAACACAAAACGCTCTTATCTGACCGAGGCCTGCTCAAGCGACGCCGTTTCAAAAGTCAATAAACATGTATGAATAGAGTACCTCTATAGGGGAAAATGTCGGTAGCTCAGGTAGCGTAGATGGTCGTTGGCTTGTTCACTCAGCTGGGCGATTTGATTGCAAACGTTTCATCATCAATCAAGGTGACATCATTAGTGCGTTATTGGGTAGCGTAGTTATGCGTAGCGCTGGGTTAGTGGTTGTGCTTTGAGTAGTGTCACGTGTGTTAATATGCGTGCTGGTAGACGGGGATGACCTCTGACCGCGATTAGTTGTTCGGTCGGGCGGTTCCATTGGTTGTTCTGTTATCCCGTGTACTCATTCACCGATTCCCACGTGGTCTTTGAGCTTGGCATCCCTCGCCGTCGTAGTCTGGTCTATGTTGGAGTGAACTTTGTCCTTCCGGGTTCCCGCTTGATTTGACTCCGAGGAGTGCCTTGTTTCTTCGTTTGTAAATCTAATGTCCAGTCCTCCTTGAGTGTTCCGGTTGAGATTTTGGTATTTTGCACGTACAGGTGCGTACATTGGATCCAGTTCGATGCACCGGTTGATCGAATCTGCCGTGGAGTACCATGCTACCAAGGACAAGAGGTCATGTCTCCTAACAGCCGCGTTTTATTCCTTTATTCGTGTACATAATTTCCTCCCAGTTCGTCCAACGTAGAATTTGTTGCAGTACCTCTAATAGGAGTTCGTTTGTGCTTGGCTTTATGGTTCCGCCTGGATGTTCCCAGAAAAATCGTGGTAATTTCCCATTCAAACACATGCGAACCAGTTGCCAAGCTCGGCAAACAGACCAATGAGCAAATGATCACCCACCAATTACCCATTAAGTTGAGAAAAAAACGGGCGCGAGTTGGATGGTAATAGGAAACATTCCATAAATCGGGATATGGAAAGGTGACTGTTTAATGCGAGCAGAAATATTTCTTCTAGGAGACTATTAGTGTTGGGAGGTTGTTTTTTACATCTGCATTTGTCTTCATTCAATACAGTCGCCGTTCCCAAACATAAACTAACGAATTACGGAAATCTTCGTGGATAAGACTTCGAAACTCAGGGCGCATTGTGAGTGGGACTTTACGATGCACACCTACTTTGCCCGTAAAGGGCAAGCCGAAAGAAACCTTAGGGAAAACCCTTTGTTTCGGTCCCATCAAGGAAACAAAGGTTGATGTAACAACCCAAAAGTACCGGCTTTCCACAAGGCGGAGCAGTTTGAAGCGTAGCAAATGCTCAGACCAAGGTTCGTTCTTAAAATGTTCCACCAAGACGCAAAACTGGACCAGCGCGTTAGCAATCTTAACTCACTAAACCCGCAAATTCGTGGTTCGGAAGTAAGGAAGAGGGGCTATTGGGCGAGAAAATCCACCACCAAGATTGTATCTTACTTTGATGATGCTTTCCGGCTTCGTGAGACTGTTTTATGTCCACGGTCTAGTTTGATGAAGTGCATTTATTGTCTTCGATAATGTTAACGACAAGCCCACGAAGCTTGAAAGGAAATCATAAATGAGGTAACCTTCACTATTTTTGTTGCACTTTCCGAAGATCATCGCATCACAGCGTTTCCACTTGTTTGGATCTATTCCTTTATGTTTCCTAATCAAGAGATAAACTTCAATTAGATTCAATTGATTTGGACCTTCAACTTCTCAAAGCGACTACCATAGCTGAGATTTGTATCACTGCTAGTGAACGGGAACGATGACTGAACGAACAAGAGCTAGAGAAACACTGGCAGTCCTGTTTGACGTCCTTAAATTGGGCAAAAATAGTCAGTTGGTGAAAGAGTTCATGCAAGATGCTGTCAGATTTTTGAGGTACACCTAGGGTATAGCTGTAACCATGATGTTGGATTTCAGAGAGTTCAGTCTAATCTGGCAATTGTAAATAAGCAAACAGCCGGTTCACAGCGAGTTTTATACAAGTACCCGGTTGTGTGGACTCGTCGGTAGGTGGGTGGACATATTGGCAAAATTCTGAAACAGACTGGAAAAGTACCACTATCCGACCGCAACGGGTCGAAATAACAGCGACTCTACCAACAATCTGACTAGTTTGTAAGATCCACGTGTCACACCTAGTACGCCTATCACCGTTACTGATTCACGTGTGACTTATAAAAGCGTTGAAGTTCACACGGCACTCGATGCTTTGTAGTGTCCCACGCAATAATTAGACCCATCTTGCAACCTAGATCTTAGTCCTCAATGTTGGTGCACCATGCATAAGCCTGACGCAGTGTGCATTCTCCTGTCTGAGGAGAACGCATAAAGAATGAGGCCAGTTTGTGAACTTTCCTTGAAGCTTTGAAGAATACGTTACTTAAGCCATACTCTCGTTCGCAAAAAGAACTTGAATAAATGTTGTTTCCATGCAACTCACTGGAGAACTCTTCATCTCTCTGTCACACCACACAAACTATATTCGCAATATACAGCTATTCAGAATGGGAGAAAGCCGAAGACGTACGGTGCATGTGATCAGGAATTAGATAAATGGTTGAGTACAGTGGTTTCGGGGGCGAGATGGCCCAGGTGGTTAGAGCGCGAATTTACTGACCGGAAGGTCCGTGGATCGAATCCGACCTCCGCCATTCGACTTCCCCTGTCTAGGCTTGGGCGACCTGGCAGTATCCCAGCCCTCGTGCTTCCTTCGGGTGGCATGGCAGCTAGGCACCGGAAGAGTGCTACAGCTGAACGTTTTTTTACAGTGGTTTCATTGACAGCTCGGGTTGCACAACAAGTCAACATTATGGAATTCATTTCGGATACGTCAGGTCCTCCATTTTCGACAGATTAACGGCAGGTGGCAAGTACATGTGCCTGGATGGTACCGGTATGAGTTCTAAGAACTAGTTCACAGATCAGTTTACACACCAATCAACTGAATAGCTTCAGTAGTCCAAGCGTTACCAGCCTAGATCAATAGTGACTCAATATCCAGCGCCAAATTTCGCAAGCAAAGTAGCCGATAAACAGAAAATTAGTTTGCCTTTGACACAACTGAAAATCCAATTGAGTGCGTCACCATAGAAATCGAATGACCTCGGGTGAACCACAAGTCCAGTTAGTTAGGTTTATCATGATGATGATAACAAATAAACTCTAAGGCGGGCAAGAGCGAATAGCTGAGCGGTAAATAAAGTTTCAAGTATCGGGTTACTGAATAGACTGAACAATTCAGTGCATTGGAAAGACGGACTCCCTCACTTGTGATTCTCGGTCACTAGGAAAGAGGACCAAAGTCATCAAAAGCCAAAAAATATGCCCTCAAAATACTTACGCTAAAAAGCCTATTTACAAGGGGAACGTGGATAACAGATCACGATGGTTTCTCACACCTGTCTGGCATTAACTACGGTTCAGTGGTTCATCTCACCTGTGTTGAGTAAGTCAGATAAAACCGCAAGCTGCTTTAAGACCCCTGCATCTCCAGTGCTTTACTGGTTACTGCGTGGATTCTGCACCCTAAAGTAGTGTCGACCCGTCGGTCTATAGAAAACCAACCGGTGATCTCCAGGGTCATAAATACAAATGTGACCTTGGTAAAGTTAGTTAGAAGAAGAATATGGATTGAGAACAATTGCCGGGGACTGCATGAGGGTGCATAAATTGGTTAAAAGGACCAGGCGTGCTGTTAATGAGGCGATTACAAACCGAAAGCGAATACTGAGTGAAACGTAGTGGGATATGAGTCGATAGTAACAATTTTATTCAGGAAAAATGCATTCAGACCCACCAGTGAAGAGATTCTACACCAGAAGAATTGGAGCAATCACTTTCGCTGAATGAATTAACTGATCCCGTCCCCCTAAACTGATTCCGCGGTTCTGTAAGACAGGATTTTTCAGCGGAGCCCAAATATCGCCCGGTCACAGCCGCAAGCCGGTCCAGTTGAGAGTTGGATCCACTACGCTGGTTGGATGAACAAGGACTAGCACCGCAAGCGTGAAAGTTACAACCTACTTGAACGCCGTAACTAGGATGCTGTGCCTTTGCGTCAGTTTCCGAGCAGAACAGAGGATGATGCCAACTGAGGCGCGAAGCCCGATTGCTGTCCCGGTGTCTGGTACGCAGAACTACTGTCACTCCGTTGGCTCTTACACAATTCGTGTTGGAGGCATCCAAGTGAGTCGACTGCCTGCTCATAGGTGTCAGGCGAATGGCCACCGGACGTAGTAAAGCATTCATTTGCCCCTCCGATGCGGGGCACTTGCAGGTTTGACTGTGGGGACCATGAGGCATTTGGTTCAGATCACAGGTGGCACTGGATGATCTACAGGCTCGTTTAGCTGGAGGATGGGAAGCAGAAACGTAGGACTCCGCCGCTCGTGTACAAAAAGATGCGTCAGGATGTGTTGCCGCGACTGAATGGGCCTTTGAGGTGATATCAGTAGCTACAGCAAAAAATTGGAATAAGATGGAAGTAGTTAGGTGATTGGTCAGGTGCACTAAAAGAATTCACATCACCGACATCAAAAGCGCTAACAGTTGTATCATACATTGACACCAACTGCCCACGAACCATGCTACCATGTGGGAAAAACCTGTTGTGGAAAATCGACTGATGAAGGAAGTGGAAAGGGTTAATGCATATTTAGTCATACATTTGATTATCCGTTCTCATGCATGCTTTGATGTCTCGATTTGGTCCCATGTATTTTCCTGTAGCGCTTATGGTCCTTATTGTCAGTGTATTCGTGACCCTCGATTGCAGCTTCCCCCCGGTTGCGTAATCAGTTAGGTGGGGGGAGGTCTTAAGCTGGGATCCACGAAGGTGCAGCAGTTACCCAGTTTGCTCCCCACCCGAAAGACCAGGTCTCAGATATCACTTTGTGGCGGTCCCTTCATGTGAACTTCAGCAATCTGTAGAAAGCACTAGCGTTTCATGACGGGCAAAGCGTTGCGTGCATTAAAAGGGGAAAGTGCACTTAGGATGCATACACACAGTTCTTTTCCTGGGCGAACCGCCGTTGGCTCGGCCATTTAAAACTACCTTTACCGACCACCAACCCATTAGAAGAGACTGAAATTGGCTTCTAACGCGACACGTGGTGGTCACCACTGGGATGAGGTCAAAGTAACCGGTCAGTTTTTTCGCAACAGATTGGTAAACGCAACCTTTTCGGAATCCACTTGTGGCCTAAGGTTATGTACAACAAAGAAGGTTTCCTCCTAGCGTGCATTTCTTCCTCGGAGCATAATATGGGGGTAACACTGTGACCCTAACCTAAATATATGTTTTCTTGAGAATGCTGATTTCCTCTACAATGCAGGTGATGTAATGATAAATACACCCCAGTAATGACTTCGGAAGACCTCTCTTAGTGTCTCAGTCCTATATGATAATTTCGTCTGGGTAACTGGAAAAATGAAATGCTCCCGAGTGGAATATTTGGAAACACAACGGAAATTGATTGAAACTGACTTGTTCATCGGCAAAAAGAACACTTTCTTATTAATATGGTCTTACTGAGACGCCTATAGTGTGTGTGTGTGTGTGTGCAGAAGCTTAATCAAGACGAGAAGAGGTGACTGATAGATTGCATCCGCGCCCCTTAAACGAAACCGGGTTGGGTAACCAGTGCTTCGCGTACTGCTTGTTATAAGCAGATGCACTCACCTTACTAGCTTCTGATTCTTCGCCTGCTGCATATGCAGTACAGTCACTCATAACGCTAAACAGCATTGGTGCTTTTTCATAAAGGAAACTACTCACAAGGTTGCTGAAAACTCTTCGACAGTACACGACCAGCTTCTTGGGATTCATCAGGTAGATACAATCCCCGAGTTTCCGTCAACCTTACGTCCTATTTGATGTTTTTGCCTGCTGCGCGAAAACGCTAAACGCCTCCTCAAATGCTGTGTAAGATGAAACCCGGGCAGTCGCCACTTTCTCAGCAAACACCTCTGAAGTCAAACCCACATATTTCTGAACTACACCAGTGCAATCTTTGTAGTGAATGCGCGCCAAAACTAAGATTAGTTAAAACGAATTCCAACAAAAGACCGATTAAGCTGTTTTTTGCTTTGAGCACACATACAAGGAAACGCAATATTTTGACACAAAAGTTCTGCTTCCACACACAACGGCTTTGGAGAAAATTGCGTATGCATGATAAGGATGCATCACAGAAACCGTAACTTTTCCCGGACGTAATAATAAAATTCGCCTTTTAATTCCCCTGACTTTTTTCAGTTGAGATCGATGAGTGTTCTTATCGTGGACGTAGGTCGGATCACCCTAATTGGCTACACAGTATGTACCCCGGGTGACAATTTAGTCGGGCAAGTGAGCTAGGTTTGCTTAGTTTTCTGCTATGATAGACTTAAGTTTGATCTCGTCAGATGAGTAGGCATCGCGGACGCCGAGTCGCATGTTAGTTGTGCGTGCGAGCTAGGCTCTTCCGGCTGTATTGTATCAGCAAGGGTAGCCTCGTTATACAGTATAAACTAAGTTTGAGCTTTCTCCTCGATTTATGGTGGAGTTTAATGGTTGTCGATGTACTCAACAGTTCACAATATACATCTGTGATATGAAATTCTGTGACACCTCCTCGGTGCTGATTGCGGAACGCCTGTTACTCAACACCATTTGTGTTGGAGGACTTTGCTGCCAATAAACATGACCGAAGTGCTTTTAGGGTGATATCAAGCAGTTTTCCAGAAAACGACCTACGGAAGTCGGTGATAGACAAATTAGAATAACATTTTACTCTTTATTTACTTAATGGAACCGTGCAAGTGAAATTTACATTCTGAAGGCATTAAGTTCCTTCAACCTCGTACGAATTACCAGAAAATAGTAAGAGTTTCTTTCAAGACGATTACTCTGAATAAAGCTTCCTGAAGTACGAGGACAAAGGATTTTACATCCACCTATCCGGGTAGAGGATATCAGATACAAATCCAAATACAATAGTGGTCCTGGACTAAGTTATCGTCCTTGGTTGGATCGCGTATGCTGCAAGACAGGAGTGAGATGACAGCGTGAATTCATAGGATTTCGTACTGTCATGGTTGTTTGTAAAATCGACTGAAAATCTAACCCAGTGGTTCGGAGTGGCGAACTATATTCAAATTATATCCTTCGTGTGCTTCGACCGATCGTCCCAACTCTTTTTTTATTGTGCGCTTCCTCGTCCCGCAGCCGTAACCTGCGAGTTAATGGCATATCGTACCTAGATACGAGACCGATAAAGTGGGAAACAAAATATCTTACTGAGCGAGAAAGCTTTAATGATCCACCACTGGTGTAAGTGTTCAGTTCGCTGCCGAAATCACCCGATTGTCACTGTGTGAACTGGCTTTATAGTTGTCGTACGTGGTGATTCGGTTGATATGCACCTCCTGTTGTACAAGTGATTCCTAAAAAAGCTAGAAGCCTAAATGTTTTGAGGGGCAACAGATAGGCTTTCAAGTTCCATCCATTCGATTCGGCAGCGGAGCTAGCTAAGATGGATACATCATTAGTCATTAGTACAGAAGAGGGGGTTTGAAAGTAAAATTTGTACACATATCTGGTCATTGACTATACCGCTGAGGGCTTTCTTTGACCTGTCGCGCCAAAGAGCTGACACTTTTGAGGTACGGTCATGCCATCAAAACGCAGTTGTTCGCACTGCCAAGCATAAGAGCCGTACCACCCGACATTTCGTGCAAATGTTTGGACAGCAACGGCTACGCACATTTCGGCGGGTAAATATTCGAAACAGACGATGTGAAGGTAAAAGCATTAGGAATGTAACTTTCGAGTTGACAGGTACACTTGCTGATTAACCCGACTCAGTAACAGACAAGGTATTCATATATCCGAGCTCGATACTGCTCGCTGCTCAGGTCAATGCGTTTTTCATGCGGATGAACGCATTTTGCTCCATACCATATATCTCTAGCGTTTTGGTCCTAACGTGCGGAACAGAAGGGGCCCCAGCAACCTGAGCCGGAACGGTCAACTGAACCACATGAAGAACTTTGAGATCTAAACTAAAAGTACACGCCACCTGGCGAGACGAATACCCAGTAAAGTGGCCGAAACTAGTAAACTGCCGTATATACGCTCGAAGTGATGCAAAAGCCACACAGAGGACGTTCATCTGCACAACAGTGTTGGATGTTTTATGTACATTTTTGGCGAATAGACAACCCCAGTTCGTACCACCAACACCAATGTGACACTCTGCGATGCACAAACATATATTTAACTTCGAACCGTGCTAATCGGAGGCGCTACTAACATCACCAAAACGGAAGTGTGCAGTAGCCTGGATTCAAAAGGTCGATTGAAGCAAAATACGTATATGCTTGGGTGTTCTTCACTGTTCACAACTCAAGAGTGCAAACAAACCAACGTGACGCGGTCACTGAAAGACTTTAGCCAAGTAATCTATTAAAGTAGATCAGATGTATGTTCAAACGCTTGTAGGAACATGAAAACCAGTTTCACGCGAACGCCTGTGTGCATTTTTTCAGCGCATAGTGCACCTCTACGAAATATGTGCGTCCAAATTATCTACCAGTTAATGACAGAAAATATTGTGGTGAGTTGAAACTGATACCTTGGATTTCCAAGGCCGGAAATGTATCGGATAGTTGCTTAGTTTGGCATCCGTTGAACAGTATGGTAATGTGTGCCAGAAACACTGAATAGAGTGCCATTCGGCTGATTTGCTAACGTTGTTAACGCGACATCCGATAGCAATATAAGGACTCACACAAGGACACGCACACAGACAGATGGAGAAGGAAACACAGAATGGTGCGATCAATGACGTGATGCCTGTAGCCTGCGAATGAGGGAATATTGTCGATACATCACACGTACATCATAGTACACATACGCGCACAGCACGCAAAAAACTTCAGTACCAGTGACTTGCGTAAGTGGCATGTGCCAAGTTGATGATCAAGCTACACTCAACAATACTGGTGATTTCATTCGGTCTTATCGATGACAACCAATAAGGAAAAAGAAAGAGGAACAGAGAACATCTAACAAAACTCTATTACGCTATCCAGTGAAAAAATAGCGGTCTGGTGAGTAAACAGCTTTAAAAGATGGAATGTTTTGATATATGAAAGCAAGAAAAGTGTGGTGTGGTAACAGGAGAAAAATGGTGTGCCGATCGACTGGCTCTTTTGCGAATCATATTGGACCAAGAGAAATAGAGACCATGTATTTGGTGGCACGACTTACGATGCTCCATCGAGTTGGGTTCATCCATCTGGCCTTGATTTGCTGTCCAATGCTTGAATAAAGGAGAAAAATGAAAGTGAAACGCGGTTAAGGTTGATAACTCAAGTTGTAAGCAAAACTAAATAGAAAAACTGTTGTTTGATCGAAAAGTGAGCAAGTGCCCTGCAAGTTCGGAAAACACTGCATCATATATGACCGGAACCGTGTACGAATTTGAAGCGAACCTGGATAGGCTACCAACCTGGTCGCAGCAACTAACTCAATGACAGTCAGTGTTTCGAGATGTGAGTGCGGTGGGAATAGGAACTGAGCCCAATCGCCAACACTGTTCCAAAGGGGTGGTTATTTGCTGACAACAGAACACCAGCAATGCACACCGGCACTTAACCGTGATGTTCAGGTGGCTTAGGATGTACGCGACTTTCATATAAAAAAACGTTCGTGAGCACCAGTGAACTCGACCAAAGTGACGTAAATATCTGTCAAAAACTTTCAATAAAGTGGCTGAACGCGTCCCTTTATCATTTATAGAATTTTGACCTCGATCGACCCTAACAGTCACACACTGATGTATATGCTTCCAGAGCTGTTCGGTGATCAAAATAACGAGAAGCCGGGTAGTTGAAGGGTACAGTACAAAGTTAGTGAATACGCACAGAGTGCACACAAGCTTCAGCATGATGAAACTGACTTGTATCACACTAGCCAAACCTGGATGCGTGTCACACAGCGAGTCGATGTTACGACGTTGTGAGGGCAACTAGCAAGAGAGCCGCTTGCCAATGGTGTAGGGGTGAACTGACACCAACAAAATGTGGAACGGCTGATCGATATATCATTGAAGATTCTGACAGCCACGGTTTTGTGCTTTGCATCAGCCGAAGAACTGGACAAATAGGCAGGATTATGTCAAGTGGATGACCTTAAATTGTGTGGGACAGTGTCAAAGGAGTTACAGGCGTGGAATATTGATATCGGTCGTCAAGCCAGCCAAATTTCCTAAGTCAAATGCGATGCAATTTAATGACCAACGGAGGGGTCCACGGTTGCATCACGGAATGAGATACAGGCTATATTTTCCGTCGTACGTGACCTGGCTTCAAATTTGGACTACTTTATCACGATTCCTGAGGACCGTTTCAGAATATCTGGGTACCTATGTTAAAGTGTGTAGCAATATAAATGACCAATCTGCAGCATCATCGTAACCAGTGTTCAGGGGACTTCCTCCGTCGGTGCGTTCACATGCGTTAAGCACAGATCAACCGAGCAAAACATACTCAACACTTTCAACCGTAATGATTCAGGTGAACATTATGTATAGCTTCAACGCACGCGTGGTCCTCTGTGTCAACTGAGCGACGAAGCTCAGGAATTTTGACGCATCAGCACCACGCACCACCTCGAGCTCTGTTGCCATGAAAACTTGCCCTTACTTAACAGGACTTGAACCTATCCATTTGACTCCTTCGATTCGTTGGAGTTGTTTTAAGCAACGGACGAGTGAATGTCCCCGGACGATTGCGACTTTCTAACAATGTTCCTTACTCTAACCGGTTGGGAACTGCCTCTGCACTGGCATAGACGTCTGTTTCCCGCTCTACACACCAAAGGTCGGGGAAGTTGTTCTACCGTATACTTTCTCTGGTACATTGGATAAGTCGACGGTTTACCGACATGTTCACGTCCGTGATGCAAGTGCGCCTTCTACCTCACTGACTTAATCTGTGGTTCATTCATCCGTTGACATGTTGACATTATGCCGTACATAAATGACCAGATTGTTTTGTTGATTTGTTTTTTTTTTCACAGCTAGTGGTTACACCGTAACTAAATTTTCTATTATAAGATAAGAACTATGAAAACCATCTTCCGAAGTGGCTGATAACGTGTACACTCGGGTTCGTTCCTTACTTGATGGAGGCCAACGGGCACAGACATCACCGATTGCTGTACATCGACATACAAGCTGTTTTCGAAATCGAGTCAAAATGTCACAAACAACCTGTGCAGTCGTTCCGTAAAAGGCACCACATCATTCCGAATTTTCTCCACCGAACTGGCGAAATACGTCCACCTCAGAAAAGAAACACCTGATACTACAATGCACTACGAAAACGAAGTCAAAAGATCATTACAAGTTCTTGCCTTTGACAATTTTGCTGAGGGTGGCTCTGTTGGAGCTGATCGCTTTGCACTTATACTTCCTTATCTATAGGCCGCTGGTAAGGTGCGCTTAACGGAAGAATAAATTAGTTGGTCTAATCGTCCCGACAATTTTCTGTGTAAATAGCAGGCAGGCGGTGATATCATCTACAGATTCCGGAGGAGGCTTTTCTCCGGAAGACAATTTATGACGTTCTAGCTACCATGCCACCCGAAGGAAGCACGAGGGCTGGCATACTACCAATTTGCACGAACCTAGACAAGAAAAGTCGAGATGCAGAGGCCGCGTTCGAACTACGGACCTCCAGATCAGGAAATTCGCACTCTAAACACTGAACTATCACGCCCCTAACCACTGAGTTATCTGCTTGGTGCACAGCCACCAATATTCGGACACTGCGCCGACTTTGACAATGAAGCATGTTCCTGCACTTTCGGAGCTTTGGCAATAGGAGCGTTTGGATGCCCGATCAAATGTATATCTCGTTTCTTCTGCGTACGACACTGATGAAATAGAATCCACTGCTGTGCTCTGGCATTACCCCTACAGTTTGGTATCCCAACTGTTTCTTCACACTCTAGAATATCAGGCTGCGGATAACGGTGTTGCGATTTGCTGTTAATATATCTGTCGACAAGGAGATCGATATTGTAATGTTGTCTCCATAGGCCGGATTAAGATATCCGACAGTAGCGGAATCGGCTGATAGACAGGGAATTCGAAAAATATGGTTCCTATATTGATAGGTGGACGACCCGAGGCAGACATCGTGAGGCCAACTAAAGGCTGTAGTGGGATTATTATCACCGAACCCTACTGGGAACGAAACAGGAGCGCGATTTCGCAGTAAGTGATGTGCAACCCTCAATTTTTAACACTGTTTTTTGAGGGAAAAATTTACTTGACAATAGATATTACCGTGCACTACCATGCAATAGACAAGTACTCGGACTAAACTTCACTGAACTCTGTTGGCCCGATGTTCTGGGTCGGCTTTCATTGAATTTTCCTGTGGATGTTTATTGATAACATTATAAAAGCATTGCGGAGAACAAGTAATCAGATTGTGTTATCAAGAACCTCGGGACTGTAACTCATAGGTTTTACGCGAACTAACATGTGCGCAGAGGTGACATGCTGTTGTTGTGCTTGTTGAGAAATACCGTACTAGTGGAAGTGGCACAGACGCGTAGAGACTATTGTATTCACGAATGAACTATCGATGACACAGAAGCCGGAGTAAAATAACATGAATGCTCAGAGAGCATCTCCTTTTAGACAGATCCTTGGGCTCCGTGAAGGTTTTTTTTTAATAGAATTATGGTCATTTATATAGATAAGTAAAGAACGGCTTTCAAAAATTCCTAAATCATTCGGACTCAGCGACGTTGACACACGGAATAAAAATCAGAGGAAATTAGGTAAACCTGTACCAACTATTCCATGTGCATTGAAGTAGCAAAATCTGTACTCTGTGACAGAAACAAGTATCGACACACACCATAAAGTGATTTTTAGTTAGTTTGCTAATTCCGTTTCGGTGGACCTGACCATGTGTGAAACACGACGGTTTAACACACCAAACGGACACAAAGCAGCAGACTGAATACGCCAAAATCGACAACAAACTGTTCGGTCTCGTGACTGGTCGATTTGGCCCGACGCCAAAAATATCGCGAGCTATCTGTCTACGTATCGAGTGATGCCTGGTGAAAAATATGGACTGTCACATGCCAGCTGGCATCAAGCCAAGTGCACCGTCTACTGGCTTAACTGCCTATGCACGACCACATACCTGTGTGTAGGCAAAGATGCACAAACGCTTGCGAAGTGAGGAGTGCCCAACAGTGCTGCCCCTTCTCTGGACGTGTGTATGTGTATGCATCATAGCCGTCGCCCGTGCGATGGAAAATACGGACGCTCGACATACAGATGTAGATTCGTCGGATGTCTGGAAAGAGGGTTTACATGGAGGACAAACGACTTACAGTCCTCACCCTTTAAAATATGTCATGAAAGTATGCGTTGCCTAATCCAACCCTCTTACCTCGCACAAATTAGGATAGCACCAAAACTGCCGTTTGAAACCTCAGAAAAATCAGGCATTGTGGTCGATGCAACGGTAACATTGTGATTCCATTTTGTTATGGAAGGACGTTCTCCAACACTCTACAGCGCCCTCAGTTAGACATAGTACAACTCAGAGAAAGGAAAACTGGCTCCGATTTTGCTATACCTCTCGACGTGTGCTCATACACCGAAGAACTGTGTGACTGTTGCTTGCTTAATTCGGACCAAGGTGTTGGTGAAAGTTCACAATCTGTTTTAGCCTCTGAAGACAAACTCTCAGGGTTGGTACCCATTGTGCCCTGGGTTCTCATTCGTTCAACAGGATACTGCACACAAAAGCCTCTGTTGCTCTTTAGAGCGGTCTGTTCAGGATTCCAGACCTTCTTGATGTTTATTCGGAAATTCTGGTTAGGAAATTGGAGAAAATGTACGTAATCTATTTAGTTTAGCAGCAATCAAACCCTCACCACTATATCTCCCTCCAAGTCGATATCAACCCTCATTCAAGCCTGAATAGCAATGAATCACATATAATCCTTGAACTGACACATACTTTCACTGTCTCTTTCGGTATGCAGCTGTACAGCTATCTGCAGCCCATCGCTCAAATATCATTTGTGGACCTAAGTCACGAACTATCGTCTAACCGAATATCACTCATAGCAAGGCGTGAATTTGTGGGGCTGTGGGCTAAAATTTTCATGTCGAAATTGAAAAGCTGAAGAGCAATATACCCATCGGTTGTTTTCCAAACTATTCTGAAATGATATAAGTAGTCCCTTTGGGCAGAATACCCTGCATGAGACCGAAAGTCAACCCATGGAAATAATGCATACCATGGATTAGTTCGATCACTTAAATTGTTCAGCATCATCTGAATTGACAAGACAAACATAAACACTCCGAGACAAGGGGTTCAGTGAGAACACTGAACGAAGGAAATACCCCTGTCTGAATTCCACCGGGTCTCGCCAACGGTGAGCGTAACGCAGAACCAAAAGGTTCCGTTTTCAGAAGGGTCGTTAAAACTCCACCAGGATGCAGCTACCGAGTAAACTGCTTTGGTTACTCGAGTGACTGTTGCTGATCACTAAGCAGCAAAAACCGTGGAATACCAACTAAGGATATCACTTCAATGTCACTTTAGCGACAGAAGCAACGAGGAAGTCTGAAATATGTTCGCACAAATCCACCAGCGTACGTCGGAGAACATGGTCACGGGTCTGACAAAATCGACGATGAAGTTCAAGCAATTAAACTCTGTCGGAGCGTTTCCACTCTATTTATTACGTGTGGATATTCGATTGGCTTCAGTGGATTATGTTCGGAGGAAACAAGCGTACACCGAACGAACAGGTGGTCATGAAGGATCTTCAAACTTGTATGAACTTGGTACTCATCTTAAGGTTATGATTGCTTCTCTGGCCTATGCGTTTTCTACACATCCAATTCTACTTACACATGGTGAGGTTTTAGGTCATTATGTCCGAAAATGGCTGGTAATCGGCCAGGATATCGGTGACGACGAGAGTTCTGAAGGCATTATTGCTAAGTTCTGGATCACACGGTGGACGTGATATAGATGTGTACACACGAGCTGTACAGTAGCTGAGGGTTTTCACAGTAGAACTTGCTCCATACGGAGTATGTGGTCGTTTGTGGCAAGCATTTACAAGTAGCATTTTCATCACGAAAACTGGACGTGAAGGAAAATGTCATCACCATCGGATGTCAGACCTGAGTAATCTGTGTTGGTTTTGGCTGACAAGTTTGTTTATTAATCAATGAGGAAATTAACGGCTAGACGCAACATACCACTCATAAGGTTGCTGGAAATCCTTCAAAAGCCCAAGACGGGGCCATCATACATGAGAGATTCAGTCGAGTCCATTGTCAAAACCAAATTCACCCGCAAATGAAAGTATTCGTCGAAAGAAGGCTGAGAAGTTTAGGCATGCAAGACGTGGCGGATCCAAGTGCAATCGAGTGAATTTCTCAGCAATGGGATGATCGCCCGTCCGTATGCCGAGAGAGAATCAATGCAGATAATGAGACTGACGCACATATCATCACCATCATCATCATCGACAGTACGAAGTCAGTGTCCAACACCCACGCTTCGCTGTCGTGGACGAACATACCACACGAAGGCAGTTTGCATATCAATGAAATCGGCACTGCAAAGTCTACCTCAAGTGTGACGGACCGGACTACCACGGCAGCGTATAGGATCTGGCATCATGAAATGACTTATCAAGTACATAATGAAAACAGTTCTACCATTCCGCTGGACTGTGTAAATGGTGTGGTGATGCTGACTGACAGTCAACCATGCTACCCTAAAGTTAGACGAATGGATCTGTGTCACTTGAAGTCACTTGGAGTATCACCCTGTTACAATGAAAACAGGGGGTTCCGTACTCATCATCCAAAGCAGAGATGTCCCCTGTGCCACATGACTGATACGCTACAAGTAAGATTTAGTTTATTCTGACACCTATGTGATATTTCACAGGTAACTCGGAGCCGCATTTTCTTTCGCAATCCCGTATTGACGTATGTTAGAGGCAACAGTTGGTATGAAGTTTTTCATCAATGATGACAACTTAGCTGTGTTCCTACGCGACTAAATAGACTACCCCGCTTTAGTCAAAGTGAGCAAGTCTCGCAAGATTTCATAACAAATCAAAAATCATCAGCTGTTATGAATACGCACGCCACTCTCAGACGTGTAAAGTGCTCTGGGGAAAAAGACCTGAATACTGTATTTCCGTCGTTGGCACCGTGGTTTTGACCGCCACACTAGAGCTTACCAGCAATGAAAGTCCAAGTAAGAAGCAACCAGTTACCCGTGACTACAATCCCAAAGGCAACGCTACCGAGCGGGCGCAACTTCTTTTGGTTGTACCCGATATCATACATAGGTGTAGTCGAGGCGAAACTAGGAACAGTCGACTGACTCAGATTACAGCTTGAATGCTAGCCCGCATGTTTTCACACTCGCCATTCCAAAGGCCGCATAGTACAATCGCGCACAAATGGAAGTAAGTCGCCAGCCAATCAATCTAAGCTCTCAGTGGATAAAGTGAAGCTTTATTCGTCCATGTGGATAGTTTGTGTTAGCTACTGCACCCTTACTTGTCCTAATTTGTGGATCAGACGTCCTGATGGTGCTGATAGTGCGCCGGCACCCAGCAGTCTCAAAGCGATCATTAGTTCAGATGTCGTTGTCAGGCAGCAGCTCGTTTCTTCATTGACAACCTGCTAAATGGCCCAACCATCCTACCGAAAGACATTACTGTGCTCCCCTCTACATTACACCCTCCCATTATACTGGCGTCAAATTGCACGTAAATTCCGGTATCATTCACAATAGGCCACTAAGAAATACAAATTGATGATTGCCTTTACGAGGGTCTAGTCCAGCAAACTGAATGACACCAGATGGAAATTATGAACAAAACAAGATTTTCGAGATTGTCAAAAGAGTCTACTCAGACAAAAAGGATATCATCCACTCCGTACAACCGGGATGGTATGGTCATCAACACAGGTCGTCACCAAATCAGATCAAATTTTGTTGCCAGACTGTCAATTCCGTAAGACCTACGATCCGTAGACGGATAAATCGCAAATCGACTCTACGATCGGGCAACAAGGCAAGAAAACACTTCTCAGTCAACTCAGTCGCGTTGGTAAATGTCGTCTTCCCGGATGAGGATTGCGGGACAAGACAAACCAATAGTTAGTGAGCCCAACAGATTGTGTCATCAAAGCTATCGCCTTCAATCCATAGCTCACAATTCCTGCCACACCGGACAAACAGAGCCATTCGACGTCGATGAACTGATTAGGTCATTGCCTCCAAAAAGTGGCTCCTGTTCATAAGGTTGCTCAGAGCTCCTCGGTTGCCTGGAAACATCACAACCAACCTGGGTTCCAGGTGAGCCTCTCGCAAAACCAAGTTGTTTGCAAATTAAGGTTGCTCAGAGCTCCTCGGTTGCCTGGAAACATCACAACTAACCTGGGTTCCAGGTGAGCCTCTCGCAAAACCAAGTTTGTTTGCAAATGAGTATATTTGGCTCTCATGCCCTTATTCTCCCTAACCTCGATGAACAAAGCTTGAACAACTGCATTTGGATGCACGGTTTGTAAGTTGTTAGTCTGAACTGAACATTGAGCTGAGTCCTGCCCTGTGAACAATGAATCCACCTAGGGGCAATTCTCACAGTATCTGAGTAAAAATCAAACTGGAGCACAACTTTACGCAAACCGTCAAAAAACGCTTAGAATAGAGAGCATACTAAAGATGTCTCGACACAAAATGGAGAATTCGTGACCTTATCGTATTATAATCGATAAGAAAGATGGCGGAAAGTTGGAACGCCATGGTGACTGCGTGACCAAAACAGTGGACAAAATACTTGCAGTAACATGGATGACAATTAGTAAGCAGACATCAACGTCTCCGCCTTGAAAACAAATTTATCAACGGACGGAAAATGTCACTCACTGCCTCTCCCTCTTCATCTTCATGCTCGGAATAGAGTTGACTGGAGCCAGAACCCGAGTCAATAAACAGACTAGAAGGAAACAATTGGTTCGGTGTTTGTTCCATAGAAGTATGTTCGACCCCAACATCACCTTGATAGATGACTGGGCGGTGCTGGTTAGACATTCGGCGAATGTGCAATGTTGTCTGTTCTACTGCAAGCAGTTCTGTTTTTTGTTGTATCGTCTCAGAATTGGATTCATTCAGACTGGATAGTTTCAGTCTTTCTGCTAGAAGGCTAACTGAGCTGGCTGGTCGAACTTTTGGAACAGATGCATCATTGATTGAGCAGCTGGATGAAGTGCCGGCCATTGGTAAAGCTCAATGAGGTCAACCAGTATCCAAATACACCGGTGAACATGAACTAAGAAAGAGTTTCCATCTGGGCTAGAAGAATAAAACAAAACATTTTAATCAACCATCTGTTGTATGGGCGTAGCGTTATCAGAATTGAAGAAAGTATATGAGAAAACGATAGAAGTTGGTAAACTTTACATGTGTAAACATCCCCAAGTACATCGCAAGTACATGTCGTGTGCATAAGGAGCCGACTAAGTATTTCGACTCCAGCTAAGTCCTGCCAAACCCGCTGTCAAGTTGACCAATACTATATGGCCAACCTCACAAGAAAGTCCCTAACTCGTACTGCACGTTTGCACGGCCACAGTGGACAGAAGGTACTGGACTGAACTGGGTCAAACAATTCCGATAACCGTCCTGCACACTGAGCTAAGTTCGCCAGGTTGTTGTGGTCACCAGGCTGAGAAGTCCTAGAACAGAATACACGGGAAACGAGAGGACGCAAGCGATCTTTTTAACTTGTGATTACTGGTAAATAAAATTTTAAGCATCGGAACTGTGCAAGGAACTGCACTTCTTATGCAAGACTTCTTGAGGCAATCTATAGAGATCGGATGAAGCAACGACAATATGAAGATGGCACTTGCTCAGTTTGCTGAAGGGCTCATGTAGATTTCATTCGGATCTGAGAGTGGATCACGCCACATACACCCATCCTGACCAGTGTAGTTAAACCGTTGTAGTCAGTCAACATAGCACACACATCGAGCGAGTCTCGTATTCACAGCCTTAGAAACAGAATGCCAAAAGATTGCGACTGGCAGCATGCCAACTACAAGCGAAGCACAAACCGCCAACAAAATGTACGACGATCGAGAGACAGACATGCACGTGTGGTGTAGAATAACTTGTAAACTGACAAACCATAACAACTGGTTGTGACAGTAGCAGTCAGCTAGCGAAGCTTTGTGGCAGATGGCCTGCATTGAATCACACCCATCGTGGCTAAATGCTCACAACGGAGAATATTTAGGAATGAAAGTTTCTGGATTAATCTTGGTTTTGGCTCTACAAACATTGGAACTAGAGATTTTGTGCAGTCCGAGGCAATAATCGAGCAGGAAGACTAAAAGAAGTTGGTACTGGGAACGTGTGCTATCTGAGTCAGTCGAGGAACAACCTAAACGTTTGAAGAAGGGTAAGGAAACAACAGCGCCGACCATATCAACCGAAAGTCAAATGGTCAATAAAAGATGAAGGAACAACTTAAAAATCATTAAGAGTATTGCTGAGTTTTGCGTTACGCCTCAACTAACACATAAACTCCAAAAGCAAGTCATAAGAACTATTCTCACCATCACCATTCGCCCGGACGGTGTTAGACAAATCACCAGCTAGGCTGGCAGATACACTGACAAGCTAGTCACCCTCAATCCGATGAAAAGAAAGGACATAGAAATAGGGAACGTAGAATAAGGGGCGAATACTTTGCTGGTGATAATAAAAAAATACGGTCGATATAGTAAGAAACTATTTGCGGATGTGTGGCTCATGGCAGCGTGAATACTGTTAGAGAGTCCAGCTCCATAAAGGAGGCTTATAATGGACCCATTCAAGTCATCATCAGAAAAGTGGCTGCGCACAAAGTCACCTAAGACACTGCAACGAGAAAACCGTCATTGATTTACCAAAATCGATTTTCGATTCACGTCAAAACCAATCATTGTGACTGTCATCCATCCACATTTCAGCTAGAGAGCCTGTCACTGTGGGCGGAGCTGGCGTGGAATACGGTTCCTAAGGATGCTGGGCCAGGTCCGCTGAGGATGTGCTGCTCGACGCTCAATGTACCTTTCTAATGTTGTTAGAAGGTGCATGCAGCTTGGAATCTCCTGACTATTTTCTAAAGGGCACATCATTCCTGTGGTATATGCTGTACCTCATCCCAACGTATTCTGAGTAAGACCTGTGAATAAAAATTTTGAGGTGGAGTGTCTCAAATAAGTCCTCCTCAGCGGTTTGAACAACCAAGAAGTAGCTGTCACGTTTAAGGCCCTGCGGCGATTGATACCTTTTCCAATTTTCATTCCACCCTGGGAGCATGATTTTCACCGTATCTAATGCTTACGGACCAGCCGGTAGTGGTAGACAAAGTTACCTAGGCTGGGTAGATATATCAATCCCAGGGAGTGGCTACACAGATATTTCAACCCAGAAAGAAGGGGTAAGAAAACTTCTGTTAGTCTGTATCATCTGTGCAACAGACCCGACATCCACATGTCTATCAATGGTGTTCGCAATGATGGACTGCCGTTATAAGTTGTCCAGGCAAGATACATGACCACAAAAAACTGAGACAGCGTTTGACCACTTGCGTCCTCGGACCATAGATTAAGTCCGGTGGGCATACCTGACCAGTGGTCTTTGAAGGAAGTAACCCGCATAAATTAGGAGGGTTTATCATTATTTGCACGTTGCGTTGCATTAGTTGTCTGGTTCTTAAGCCACTGGACCGACCTGTCCAAAGAGCCCTGTGTACATAACCAGCACGCGTATGGACGTGTTGTAGATCACACCGTGATAATGGCCTGAAACCTCAGCCACGTTGACCAATACAAAGACGCCGAGATAAAGCATGTCAACGGTTGTCGAAGGCATTAGGCGTGACAGAGGCAGGCACCAAACAGTGAGCATGTACCCGTGCTACTTTATTGAATGTGGAACTTACAGTCCCAACCTCTCACAACTAACAAATGCCCATGACCTATGGGCTGAACATCCGACAATATCAGATACCGCTCTGTACATGTAGCTAGCAACCCCATTTTTCGATCACCGGTGAATGGAGCTCTCAGCTATCACCACGGTGCAAAAGGTAGACGAGTTTAAGCTGATGTCGATACAGATTCCCTTTTTCACTTTCCATTGAGGGTATTTATAAGTGGTTCTATTTCAGCTGTGCACTAGTATTCTCTGCAATTTCGATGCAGACCCAAATACCTAAGAATGACCTTGTGGGTTACAAGCGTGTTCACATTGGTGCTCACACGTGCAATTGGGTTGAGGAACTTTTTTCACTTTCTAGTCAAAACCGGTCGCACTTTTGGAACTTTAAATAAGACAGTTCTCGTAACATCATTACTGGACCATACGCTATCCATATTCCCAATTAAGGTGTTACTGGTAAAACGGGAAGCGGGGTGTAAACGGAATTGATACATGGTGCCGGCAATTCATAAATATACGATGCGTGACGGTGTTCAAGATGCTCCCAATTTTTATTCAACTCAGATTCAGGTGAAGGACATCACGTTTTTCAAGAGCCCGATCGACATCGGAGTATACTTTGAAGTCACATTTTTAGTGCAGCTAGGGCGCAAAACCACTCAAGAGACATGACAGAAGGCATTTATTAGTTTGCTCTTCGACTTTCCTACCGATCAACAAGTGTGAAGAATCAACCCCATCACAAGACCTAACTTTTGCAAATATAGCCATCACGATGCAGCCCAGCTCAGAACGACACTGGAGTTCGGCGGTTGTGTTGCTAACACCATGTGTTGGATGTGTGCAGATTCGCGAGAAAGATTATTCATCGGCTGAACTTATTGATTCACCTGGAACTTATATACTGACTAACAGAAAGGTACCACCAGGACGAAAGACTCCGTCTTAACGAAAGCCAAACCCAAATGAACAAAAGAGAAAGACGCTTCGAACATCCAGGCTCACACATCTTCCCAGTGCAATGATGAAGATGATGACGATCATGACTATGAGAATGATAATGATGAGCCCTGTGATGTAGACATGAAGCTGTGTACCTCAAGTTACTGACATGGTGTACCCACCATGGGTTAGGAATACTGTACAAGTGACGATTGCCGAAAGTTTATGAACTTTAACATAGATGCACTAAGGCCCAAATTGTGGTACTAGAGATCAGACTTCTCACCATCATCATAAATATCATAGTCGAGAACATGACATCAGTGATCAACACTGATGCTTCGCTACCGTACAACCATGATTTATTTGAAAGCCTTATTGTGAAGAAAAGATTAAGGGTGGACGGGGAGGGAAATTAGTGCTAGCTTACTACCATCATTCCGAGGTGCCTACACCTCCAGGTAATCTGGGTAGAAACTGACAAAAAGATCACCACTGACATCGGTTGGCAGATATCTTGCAGCGTTTCCAACCAGGCGCAGTGGGGATTACGCGGTCTCTAACCTGGAAGGCAAGTAGGACCGACAGCACCCAAACGTTTAGTGATTTCTTTCACACCCCTTTGCCAGGTCAAGGGTTGGCAACCTCTCTGCTTACACCACCCTGAATTGGGCATGGAAAACAGCACTCTCTTCGGTAAACGATGGTTGGGCATAGGAAACACATGTCCCAACAAACGCAGCTTCTGGTGCTGGACACATTCTTCAATGTAAGTACCCGTTGCACAACCGAAAACTCGCTTTCTAATTGCCTCGTTATGGATTCTCCGACACCAACTCACATGTGCCATGGTTCTGAGACAACCATTGTCGAACACCAGAAGATGTCTCAGTTCCGCTGTTCGAACGGGCCAAGTCACACAGCCACACAACAAAACATCCCGTACTGTAGCTTGATACACATGTCCCTTGAGATTCAGGGATACACCCCTTTGACGTCATAGGTATCTCAAATTAGCAAGCTCGACCCGTGCCTTGCAGATTCGTGCATTCACCTCAGCTGTCACACGACAATAAGAACTGATACAACTTCCGAGATACGCAAAACGTTCCACAACTTCCAGTGCCTCTCCCTGGATTGTAAGTGGCGTGTTCAGTGGATGCATGTCCAGGAGAATGATCTTGCACTTTGTGGGCGCAAAGCGCATACCGAAGGACGGGATGAATTCGGTCAGTTAATCCAAAAACACTTGCGCCTTCGCCTTCTCTTGGAAGATGAGAACGATGTCGTCTGCGTACTCCAGATCGACAAGTTCTTCGTCACAGTTCATTTGAACACCGGGTTTTGGAGACCTTCCAGCGTTCGTCTCATGATTTCATCGATCACAGAATTAAAAGGGAATGAAGGGAGTGGGCATCTCTGACGGAAACTTTTGAAGAGCTCGCCGTATACTCTCATACTCTCTGG